GAGAAATTTAAAGGTAAGGTGAATTTTTTCCTCTGTTCAAGCATCAAAATGCACAGGGGAAAATTCCTCCTGCCTTGACTGAGACTGTCATGTGATGGGGATTATATATAATGCACTTAAAATTGTAATTTATTTCTATTCCAGATTGTTGTCTGTCTCTGGAATGATTTGGGATTTCCTTAGGGTGGCATAATCTCCAGCATGTTTTAGAATTTCCCTGCTGATGTATCTTTTAATATATAGTTTTTAATACTTTTAAAATACTCTTTTTAATATAATCTTTTAATAGAACTATAAACCTTTGCAGACCTGCCCCAAAACTGCACTCGACCACAAAAATCAGTCATGTGTCAGAGCTTTAAAAGAAAAAAAATAGTCATCCATGAAAACAACTTCCTAAGTGAACAAGAATTAACTTTTCATGTTTACCCCTCATGTAGGAGCCCCCTCTGCAATCCAGTGGATTTGTTAGCTTGTAGAAATAGTGCACCTGCTACGTACTGCAGAAAATTTGGATGGGTCCTTTGGCTCATGTTAGAAATGCAGGTTGCAGTCCAGATGGATAAAATTAATTTTGCAACTGAATCCTCTTCCATGGGCTCTACACATGGAAACTAACTCTCAAAGGCACCAGTAAGCTGTGTGTCTGGCTGCGGCCTTTCCCTTCTTTTTTTTTCTCCATGGCTCCAAGTAAGCTGTTTAACATCTTCAAGATGGTCAGAAAACACAGCCTCTGAGTGCAGTGGCACATCCTCACTGAATGCTTTGAATTCCAGGTCCTGAGATCGACCCTTTTTGGTATGTGGGCCGTGGTGTTCGCCCCATTGGTCGCTTTGGGAAGAGGCAGCTGAGAAGCAGCCATGGCAGCCTGAGGCCTGTGAGCAGACACCTGGATTTCATCTTGAATGCTTTGTGGGAGCAAAAATCATTGGACACAGAGGACAGTGACTGGTGATCTCTGTTCTCCAAGGCGGCGACCCAACCTCTGTTCTTTGAATTGTGTCCTCCCCTGCACCTCAGATCTACAGTTCTGCTTTTGCCTAGCAATCCCATGCTGCTCTTCTTTCTGCTCCTTGTGCAAGTACCTTCAAAAAGAAAAAGGTTCAGGGTGCAGGTAAAAGACAATGCATGGACACCAGCACTGAGTGCCACCACTGCTTATAAAAATGTTTCTTCATTGTGTATCCCCATCAATCTCTTGATCCTGTTCACTGCTACGTTCGCTGTTAGGTTTATCCAAAACCCACACAGGTTTTGGGCTGGGATTTAAACTCAGCAGTGTTAAATGTATCATGAAACCTTCCTGTCACATTTCAAAGTCAATGGCTCTTAATATATAAGAATAAAAAGCAATAGTTGGAAGAAAGAAAAAAGGCTCTTAACCAATTTTTAATGTACCTGCATTAATGGAATGAAATGCTGGTTCTCTGTATATAGCTTTTATAGAGATTGTTAACATCCACTTTTAAGAATATCTCCTTGAAGTACCCACCGGCCCTTCTTCCTGTACTGCTGGAGAGATATATTAATGAACAAAGAGGAGCTCTTATTGAAGATAAGTATTTTCTCCCTGCTGAAGAAAAAAATTAAAATTGGCTAATTGAACTCCTTGGAGTAGTTTTGTGCCTACTGCATATAATCATAAACCATAATCCAAAAGGAGCAAGGGCTTGAATGAGCCGATTCCCTTTAAAACAATGTCATTATTTCCAAGTGTATTGTCTGAGCAAGCTGAAGTCACTCTTTGAGGATCACAAGCCATGTACTATCTACTCCATTAGTCCAAATCAATAAGGCTGGAGATGCAGGTCAATACCCCTATTTACTCATATTAATGTAACTTAGTTATATTACTTTTATAAGAAGTGTTACTTACAATGTGTTTCATCTTAATTAATAACTATTAGCAGGAATAATACAGTTTTATCTATGGCTTATATAAAAAAAATACAAGTTTACAATTTAGGTAATAACCAGTGGTTAAATCCAGGCCACGAATCATTCTGCAAAGGATAAATTTGAATGGACTTCCACTTCTAGTTGTGTTTTGTGAGAATTACTACTAAAACTGAATAATGGTTGAATTAACCATTGCAGACATTTTAACCCTTCTTTTTCTTTTTGCAAATGGCCTGTCAGGAAGGGGTGGGTTTTTATTATAATAAGGGAGTTACTTCCATTTATAATACAACAAAGCTGCTGACCCAAAGTGTTATTTAAAACACACTAATTCTACTGAATGTTTTCATGGTGGAGAAGATATGCTGATAAATATTTTGATCCACATTCATTGCAAGGAACTTTGGAAGTGCAAGACCAAGATTATCAGCAGGTTTTTTGCTCAGTTTTTGCAGCAATCCCAATCAATTCAGAGATCCCAGAGAGAGATCAAGAAATTCCACCTGAGAAACTGTGCTTGAGATGGTATTTCAGCCAACAGACTTGATGGTTTGGAGAAGACTCACCAGCAAATGTTCCTAACAGCATTCCTCCCACCCCAGCCCTAGAGGAGGAGGAAGTGTGAACCAAGTGTGTGCCCTTGTTTTGTCAAACCCTGGCACCCCTGTGGAGATGCCCGTGTCCCGAGTGTGATGGTGTCATGTGTACAGCTGTGGGTTCTGCACAATTCCAGGCCAAAGTGCACATAAATCCAAACAACAGAGAAGAAATCTTTTGGGTTTTTTATGAATCAAGTAGTTGAAAAGGCATTATTTTCATAAATCGCTTTTACTCTTTTATAATTTCTCTTGACAATAATTCTTGGTGAGTATGCAGATAACAACAACAAGGCAAGCTTAATATTCACTCAGACTTAATCAAATAGGTCATATAGTCTTCATTTTACCCATTAAAATATTTTCATTTATAAAAATTAATCTAAATATAAATATCAACACTAAAGATTGAAATCACCTGATGACAAAATAATTCTTTGTGTGCTATAACATATGCTTTTATGATTTTTTTAAAATGGTAGATTATATCTTTGCACGTATTTGGCACGATAAACATTTGTAAAAATTCAAATGCTTAGAGCAGGTGGGATTTTTTTTTAAGTTTTTTTTTTTTTGCAATGCCTACACAGTACACATTTGTCTGTCAAAGAAGACTGAATATTTTAACATTGTAACACGATAGTAATTGCTTTTCATGCCTCTTAAGGAAAACAACCTACTCCAAACTTTGTTGGCTTGTTTAAATCACACTAACAGAACAAAAGCCAGAGAGTTATTCTATTAAAATTAGTAATTTCTGTATTGATATTACATACACAATATTAGTTATTATTTATTAGACGAATATGCAGACCAACCACCATTAATGACATTTCATAACACGCATACCTGCATAAACCAGAACCTGGGAATGTATTGTACACATACACAAGAACAGTCAATGGAGGAGGAGACTGAAAAATAAAAAAATTACTAGGCATCCTACTCTGTTTAATTTCCTTTACTGGATTGCATATATAAATAAAATCTATTTGTTTTATATATATATTTATATATTAAACAGAGTGGGCCAAATTTATCCCTCACATCTGTGCAAACCAGTTTCAGAGAACTAGTATTGTGTGAGAGTAAAAGAAGGCCTAATTTCACCCAGAATGAAGACATTGGTCAGATCTTGGGCAGATGAAAATTCCTTGAAGGAATGGAGTCACACTTATGTATTGTAAGTGGGAAGGTGATTGTATTTATTCCAAGGATTCCTCACATGCAGCTGGACATCAGAGTACTGACAAGCTAGATGTCAAATGTGGATGGCAGATTTGCAGCTGGCACTGTCTTTCCAATCAACCCACCCAGTAATTCCCTGTCTCTCTGACTTGCACCCCCTAAATCCAGCCTAGTCAGGAAATTTGCTTGTATTTGCCCAGCCACAGACATTTCATGGCCTGGTGTCCCAGGGAACTGCTTTCCTGCTGCATGGCAGGTAACATGTGGCACTCTGTTCATGGGTGTTCACTGGGAGCCCAGGCAATGAAGGAACTCTCCTCCTTCCTGGTACCCACAGCTCTTGGGAGAGCTCACCACTCCTTAATGCTGAGGAGAACTTGCCAGCCCATGCCTTCCTTCATAGCACATTTCACATCAACCCCATCTGCACTTGGGTACCTGCTCTGCAAGTGGTGTGGAAGGTAAGGGATTCACTGGCTTATCACCTCCTCTGACTACCTTCTTTGTATTCTTCAGAGCAAAAAAATCCACAAATAGGCTATGTTCTCCCACAAAAGGGTGAGAGGGACACCCTGTAAGCAGCATCCTCCCTCCTGGGCATCTGCCAAAGGGCCTTCTAGTTTGACTCATCTGTTAAGGGTCTCAAGAAATGAAAGAAAGAATATTACTATTCACAATCCAATTCAGAGTGGTCCAGTAGAAGTGTGGTGCATGTGGCACCAGCAACAGGCCCCAGCTACTCTCTGGTGGCTCCAGACTAGTATAGGAAGTGATGTCTGGGCTACATTTGCCTCCTTCTCAGAAACGCCAGTGAACGCCAGAAAGGAATCTCTTGCAAGCTGCCAGCCACCCCACAACCAACAGTCAGTCAGCAGAGATCTCATCCCCTGCACTTTCACCTCCTTTTTCCAATCTTAAAGGTTTGGACACAATTTATTCTGAACTACAGCATGGTCAGCCACCACCAAGTGGACAGTGCTGCCAAGAACAAGACATATGAAGGTGTTGGTTTCTTTAACAGTGTTCAGATGTTTCCAGACACTGGGATTGCAACTCGGCAGACATCTGGTCCACGTGTGTGGCCACCAGTTCCTGGTTCAGCATGACACCCCAGCTTCCTAGAGCAATATCCCTAGCTCTGGAGCTGGAACATTCAATCTGCGAGATGCACTCTCAGAGAACAGAGTAGTCTTCTCCCTGCTACCAACCCTCCCAAGACTTCCACTGACTCCCTGGGAGCAGAGCGAGGTACACAAATTCTCCTGTCCCTTCACGCAGCTGAAAAGCAGCACACACTGCATAAAGTTGTTCTTATTGCTCGACAAGACAGATGCCCACATGAATAGTAAGAGGCCAGCAAATATGGATCACAGGTCTGCTTTGGCAGATTAATTGGCCTATAGTTATGACTGAGTGTACAAAAACATACTGCATTTTAAAGACTACATACTTTAGTACAATTGATAGGGAGAAAAAGTGCATCTTAAAATGTGGAGCCTTGCATTTGAAACATAGCATCCTGTCTAGAGTCCTCTGAGAACTTTAAGGCAGAGTTTCCTGTAGCGGACCACAATGCTGAAGACTTGGACAGCTTTCTCAGTGAGGTATCCAAATGAAGCCCTATAACTGAGGCTCTGTGGGTTCTTGAGGGTCCATTTTCAGCTGGACATACACAATGGCTGTTAAGAAAAGGCACTCTAGTGTACAGCCTTAGGCAGTGTGTTATTGGCAGTAGGGAAGAGTAAGTTTAGTACATCACAGCAGATCCTATAGCAGGTTCCTAGAGCAGAGTGGGACAGGAAAGAAAAAAACATGAGTGAAGAACTAAACAAACCTGCTGAAGAACACAGCCATGTCCTTTCCCTTCTCACTTCCCCACGTATTTCCCACATGTTCTGTAGCAGACTGCTTTGGGACAGTCAGCTTTTTCCTTTATCCCGCTATGGCTGCTGTAGAAGAAATTACTGACAGCTGTCCTGGGTGTCTTGAGTGAAGCCTCTTTGTTCAAACCCTGCAGAACCCATGTGTGATCTGTCTATCCCTTAAATTCCACTTAGATAACCTTTTAACATTTCTCAACAATTAGTGAAATTCAAGGTGACTCTCTCCTGCCAAGTTATAATGCACAGATGGTTCTGTGAGGGTCTGATTCAGAAGTCTGAAATGCAGGGCACAACTAATTTATTTATTATTTAAAAAATATGGGTAGCATGTTCCTGGAGACCTGGCAGCCAGGCTACATTATCACAAGCTGACATTCAGGAGCTGCTATTCTATAGTATATAGTCAGACATCTTCCAGGACACTGGTCATATTTGTTCAAGAGTTGCCTCAGCAGTCTCTATTTTTTTCCTCAAGCTATCAAGAGAAGATTT